GTGTGTGTGTGTGTGTGTGTGTGTGTGTGTGTGTGTGTGTGTGTGTGTGCAAACCTGGCAGCTGCTCCCTCAACAGGAGGCAAGTTTTAACACCACCCCCGTCTTGAGACTACAGAGGACCAAACCAGGACAGAGCTGTTCCGTCCTCGACCTCGTGCTCCCAAACAACACAGGGCTGAGCTGTTTGAGGCTCAGCGCCACTGGAAACAAACTGGAATTTACATTCTTAAAAGGAAAGACCACATTTTTTTTTCCCTGTGTCATTGTGGCAAAATAAACTGCACATTGTTTTGGCTCCAGATAATGAAGGAAAGGCATTCCTTTTAAAAACAGACATGAAGGGAGAAGAAAGTGGCTGTGAAGTGCAGCGATAGAGCGAACACTCACACTGATCACACTCAGAGCGCAGAGAGTGATGTGACCCAGAGCAGCCTCTCTAATCTCACTGCATGACACTGATGTGTTCCAGGCTGGGGATCAATTAACCACATCAATACGGAAAAGGAGGAGGAAAAAAAACATGTTCTCCTATTTTCTGCTTAAATAGAGGCAAAACCAGCTTCCATGTTTCAAGTCTTTTTTTCTGCATATGTTCTGGTGGCTTAATTCACCCTAGAATTGAGGTTGTGGTGTTAGAGATGTCGCATCACACACATGTGATCATCTCTTATTATTCCCATGATTATGATTTTGCCTTTGACTGTGTGCGTATACCATATTTTCTGCCATACAAGTCCCACCACTCTAAAAGCCGCATCAGTCCAAATATGTCTAATAAAGTAGAAAAATCCATAGATAAGTCACTTCGCCGTATATGTTGCATCTACTATGTGTCACCGCTGATGCATCGCATTTGTTAAGCGTCACCGCTGACAACCCGGAAACGTGGGCCGGTGTTGTGCCAAAAATCGATGGGCTGCTAAATAGCGGCTGCGGGAGCGTGCACGGGAGGACTTTAACAAGAATTAAACAACACTTAAAAACAATTATTTGTTTGCTCGAAATTATAGTAAAGGTGCGTCTCAGTTGAACTTTTACTTAATAAATGCACCTTGACGGTCAAATCAGTTGCATTTCAAAACCTGATTCGCGGAAGTGCGCAGAGGGACGACTCGCTGTGCATTTCTTCTAAATTTAACAAGATAAACACCTAAAAACATTTATTTATTTGCTCGACTTTATAGTAAAGGTGTGTCTCAGTTGAACTTTTATTTCATAAAAGGACTTTTAACGGTCAAATCGTCTGTATTTCAAAAGTATTCGCTGCCTCGGTGCTACTGGGAATGCACAGACAGAGGAAATCAGGAAGGAGGAACGCTGTGCATTTCTTTGAAATTTAACAATATAAGCACCTAAAACAATTATTTGTTTGCTCAGCATTATAGTAAAAGTGTGTCTCAGTTGAACTTTTACTTAATGAATACACTTTCGCCAGGGTGGTGCGGCGAAATGAAGCTGATTTGACATTTGCTCCAAGCGAGCAGGATGAAGGTGGCAGGCTAAGGCAAGCGGATTGTGTCATTAATATCCACTTTTACCTAATACGTGACACAACGGCACGCCATCCTACTCGAGTGCCATCTAGCAGCTGAAAATGGTAGTGTTCAATATTTTCAGTCAGAATGAATGAAAACGGTCATATCTCAGCCAAAAGTTAGTTTATAAATATGGGAAAAATCCACAAATACGTCGCTTCGGTGTATAAGTCACAGGGCATGCAAACTATGCAAAAAACTGTGACTTCTAGGCTGAAAAATGCGGTATGTGTGTGTCTGTTAGTAAAACATCTCATGCGTTCTCATCCTGAGCATTTCATTGCATTGCTGACTTTGTGTTGATTCTGCATTTGACAAATAAACCAAACCTGCAGTGCGCATCTATTTTATTGAAACTCTTGGAAAGTAGTCAATAGATAAACATCTACTATTTTAATATTTGAAGTTCTCAATTCAAGATGGCTGCAACAGATAACTGACCCAAGCAAACACAAAATGGGTTATAACTTTGGGCAATAAATGTTCAATCAAAGAAGGCTATTTTCATTTGTGCTGGAGCTACTCAGCCTAACTCCTGCTGAGATACACTTTTAACCAAACAAGCTGGAGAGGCGCACTTGGGCTGATGAGAAGACATTTTCTTCCTAATCAATATTAGTGTTTTTTGAAAAACAGCAACAAAAAATGTTTAGTACACATTACTACACATAAAGAATAACTTTTTTTAAGTGGCAAAGTGCAATAAAAAAGCTTCGTACCTTGACAGGTCCTCTCATTGGTTAGCAGCTTGTAGCCCTTCTTGCAGCTGCACTCGAAGCTACCCACTGTGTTCCGGCACACATGATCACACCCCCCATTGTTGAGACGGCACTCGTCAATGTCTGTGAACAGAAAATCCTAATGAGGAGTGGATAATTCAAATCAGTCATCGCAGCTGAAAAGGGGAGAAAATTAAACCAGCAGTACGTTGTTTCTTTTTGCCACTCGGACACAACTGAAGAAAGCTGCGAACACGACCCCAAATTACTTCACCTGTTAGCACGCCGTGGCCTATTTAGGCTCTGCAGAGTATTCTGAGCGAGAATGATTTGCAGTCGGAACGTCTGGCACCTGAAAAGATGTGAACCCTGCGACGCTGTCAGGAGTTACGACAACACGAGTTCACAAAGGTTGTTTAATCAAGTTGGTGGAGATTTATGTGGAAAAAGGTGCACAATGGGAACAATTAGTCTTAAAAATGTTAAATAAACCCCATGGGTTCCCTTACTGGTCCTCAAAGGGACTAAAACCAGTTTGCAGGTGGCTTTAAGGAGCTTCAGCTCTCACACAGCGAAGCCTCGCAGCAGTAAATTCAGAATCATCTGTGCCCATCTTCAGACTCCTCTGCACTGCATGTGCAGACCCTCCAACCCTCCGTCGATAAGGGCCGTGTTCATCTCCGTGTTTTGGTTAATTCTCTGCTTGGCAAGTTTTTCTGCAGCTTTGATTAATTCTGAATCATCACCACAAATGAGGCATTTGCCTCTCGAAGGGGATCTTCATCATCTGGTTGAAATAAATGCAGAAGAAATTAAATTTAAAAATCCCCCCACTTGCTTGATCTCTTGCCCCCCAGAAAATGCCTCGCCTGAAGTAAGCTCCTGTCTTCTTGTGCCAGTGCCACCTGGGTTTGCTTTCCTCTCGTTTCCTCTCAAACCAAACCAGTACGATTCAGGGCGCTCTTATCTGTGCAGTTTGTAAAAACAAGTCACAGAACGCCGGCAGATTTCTGGGCTGGCTCTACTAGAAACAAAGCGTGTCTTTGTGTAGTGTGGTGTCTTTGTTCTGCTAGTCACCCCCTAAATTTCCATATAAAGTTAGGCAAAGTTTTAGCAGACACAACTTGATAAGACTTGCAAAAGTTTGGGATGTTCTGCTTCAGACCGACTGAAAAACTGGTGCATGGGAAAGAAATGCTCAAAAATGTGCTGTGGAGAAGCAGAGAGCAGGGAAATCCTGGAGTTATTAAAGCTGAGAAACAGCAGATCTTGTTCTAAATTGAAATCCAGCTGATTGACTAAGACAAGGAGCTCAAACTGGTAACAGGTTATTAACTATTCAATCATTCCTTTAACTCCAGGTGGAGGGAGGACCCTATGGCAACACGACAAGCAGGAAATTAATTTCACGACAGGTGCAGCATTAAAGCCGCCTGGATAATGATTTTTTTTTTTACCTTTGCACGTCTTGCGGTCTGGTTGCAGAGTAAAGCCGACAGGACAGCTGCAGCGGACGCCTGTCACCGAGTCGTGACACGTGCTGTCGCAGCCACCATTGTTCACCGCACAGGTCTCTGCAGAAAAACAAGGAGTCAGACGGACCCCATAAAACATACAAAGTACATGCTGTCCTGACCTACTTAATGACACCTCATGCATACTGATATCGCTGCAAGAATTAGGAGCCTCACGCTCAGCTACACTGTTAATTCAGTCAAACAGACGGAGAGAAGAGGAACAGCAGACTCATTTGGCATTTAGCTGCAGAAAAGAGGAAATAAAGTTGAATCGGTCATAAAAGCAGTGAAGGAATGAAAGGGATGTGAGCAATAGAAGACTATAATGAAGAAGCATTAAAGTTAACACAGCCAAACAGAGGATTTTACTTTGTTTTTCTATGTGCATGTGGATAAAATGTGTCTGCTTCTCTTTTGAAAAGATGATTTATAACCTTGAAAGTTTTTATACCGCATGTCACTTATCATCCTTTTATTGTAAAGCTGGAGTTTTCACTTTCTGGTTTAGACTAAACCTTCCAGGCGTTTAGGGGAATAAAACAAAATCTGTTTCAGCTACCTGGGCCTTGTTTTCTCTTAAACAAAACTTGAATGACTGAAAAGCAAAAAGTCAAAGCAGGACAGCTGAGGTCTCGCCTCTAGACAGTGAGACATTTCACAGAGACGCCCGTTTCAAACAGCACAGGATAAATTTGCTCTCACATCAGAGACCGCTGTGTGCCTTTCTTGAGCTTTGGAAACCTCACACTCCTTAGGAATCAGGAAAACAGAGGAGGCGATCACTTTAACTTTCATTAAGACAAGCAGTGATCTATACACGTCACAGCATTGTCTCTGATATAAAGCTCATTAAATAGGAGAAACCACAGCTTGATCAGTTTTTCTTTAACTTGTTAAGCTGTTAAAAATGAAGCTGAGTGTGTGTTTTTAATAAAAACACAAGGAACCTGAGGAGCTTAATTATTTTTACTGACATTTAACAAAATACTTGCAGCGGCTATAATCCAACTTTCTACAACTTGTTCTGTCAAATAAAAATGAAAAAATCTACATCCAAACCTACACCCTGAGCTTTTACATATCACATTATAATAAAAACAATAACTTATTAAAAACAAGTTACACACTACCTGGTGTTATTAAAGTAAACGGGAACAATCCTCCAATTGGAAAAGTGATTAATGTGTTTTATCAAGTAAATGAATGAACTCACAATAATGCGGTGTGTTGCTATTCTTCATACAAATACTGTATGCAGGAACAAATAATGTAGCTGTTGAATGGAAATTAGTCTGTTTCAAAAAGTCCAAATTTTCAGTAGAAGGGGAAAACTAAAATGTTGCAACGAAAGAATGGAGTTATGAACAGTTCAACACATTAAACCTGTAAGAATAGAAGATTTTCACACACTGCACGTGAAAAGAAAAAGGTAGCCAGCCTTGTCTGGTCATCTTTGAAGTGATGTTCTGTCAAATAGTTATCACTAGTTAGTATTTTTTTATTTTATTGTTCAGTTGAGAAAACAACAACAAACTAAAAACAATGCCATGCAAAAAAGGTATGTCATTTTTGAGAAAGAAAAAACACAATATAAATATTTGTCTAGTCATTTGCCTAGCCTGGACAAAGACCCTTTGCTACACACTCTGTGCTCAATGACTGATGTCATGGCTGATAAAGTACTAACTATTGTCAACTATATGACAGAACATCACTTCAAAAACAACAAGACTATCCGTTTAGCAGTGTATCTTACTAAGTGAGGTACATTTTAAAAGTCTCAATTTTAATAGATCCAATGCATAGTTGGTGTATGACATAAAAAATAAAAAAAAACAGCCAGAACATGGATGGTCTTTGCATGGTCATGGTAAAATGTATTAAGAATGCAATGTGCTTCCCAGTATGTGTGATAAAGCAAGCAAGGTTATGATGGTTTGCAATCATGGTGGCAGTGTATCATGGTCCTAGACAGAGGACTATGATGTGGGGCTTGTGAGCAATGAGGGGGCTTGGTCATTGAGATAATTAAGTTAGCCCTCCTGTGCTGGTCTAGACCACAACTATGACTGTGATATAAAGTCACAGGAACAAGCGAAGTCGTGATACTCATGTGCCTCCATGATGTAATCTTTTAGCACATAGTTACATTACAGGCTTTGAGAGAGTCATGTCAGGACAGTGCAAATAGAGTGGTGAGGATAAAAAAAGATAACACATGGACACAGACAACAGTAAAAAAATGACTTTGAGAGCATCAAGTGTTAGAGCGAAGTAGATTTTTTAAATTTGTCACAATCCTAATGCTGGTGGTGGAAAGAGTTGAGGGCCCCGGTTTGTTGAAGGCCTTAGGAGCATAAAGGTTCGACCAGGGCTTAATTTGTAAACCAATCAATGCCAGAACGCAAATAGCAGGCGGGCTGGCAGGGGAGGGGGGCTCGGGAGTTGGGCACTCTGGAGGTCTCCCCCAGAAAATTTTAAAGTAGTTTCAATTTCCTGCATTTTGGTGTATTTTAATGAGTTGTTAAACATTTACATTTACCTACATTTGTAAAGACTCCGCTTCTGTCAATTATCCTCCCCACACCCTCCCCATTACTTGATGGTTCCAAGTCCGACACTGTCCCTGCTCGTTGTTGTCTGACTCCACATGTGAAACCCCCTCCGTCTGTTCCATAGCTGCCTGTGGGCTCATGCCCGCATACGACTGATTGATTAGCTCGTTCAACACTCAGCCCCACCACTTTTTTAGGGACGGAGATATTTTTTAAGGGTAGACGCGGAAATGCTTACTTGAAGAGGCAGATCATATGAGATATTAAGAAGCTCATAAGTGGCTGTTGTGTTTAAAATTAGTGTTTATGTAATTATTTTCAGTTTATTTTTTCATTCAGCCTTTATTTATACAGGTTAGTTCCCATAGAGCCTCAAGGACTCGTTTACAAGAGAGACCTGTTAACGTGAGTTTACGTATCAAGTATAAGTTTTATTTATTCAAGGCAGTCATATTTGTTGATAACTTTATTATTAGTAAGTCTGAGAGCTACCGGATCCAAGCAAACAGTTACCGGAACGCACCCTGTCAAAATCTGGGAGTCCCCGGATCCAGTTCCGGCAGGATCCGGCTCAAATTAAAGCACAGGGTTTGACTCTTCGTTGATGACAAAGGGTTATGGGGTCCAATAAGCCCAGGTTTAGGTACTTTGGATCTACTCGTAGTGTTTGGCGTGTTTGAGCTTTGTGAAGCTCAGCGCAGTGTATCATGGCCAAACGCTTCATATCTGTTCTAAAAACATTTTTACAGAAACCTTGATTTTTTTTTTTTTTTTTTTTTTTGCTTTTAAAGATGCAAGAAGATGACTTTCTCCTTGAAATTCTTCCAAAGCATTTTCTGTATATTTTTATTGTACTGTCGTGACCTTAACTTCCTTAGCCTGTAGATTTGGAGTTGTGAGGCCTGTGAGTTCAACAGTTTCTCCAAGCTTGGTGCATTTTGACCTGGGAGTGAACTTGCTGTGGTGCCCACTTGAAAAGATGCAAAGACTAAGACTTAAAACTTTTGATTTTAATTTCCTTAAAAGTTCTTACAGCTTTAATAAACTTCAACAATTATTTCTGAACAGTTTATAGTATTTATTTTGTTCTTGGCGTTGTGTTAACACACTTTTGAATACTCCAAACCACAGACTGGCAACCCCCACCCCCCACCCCGCTGTTATAAGGGGAATTTGGAATAAGGAATTACCTTTTATACATGTTGCTGCTCGTACACCCCCTCACCCCCAACAAGAAGCAGTTTTAAAACATTCAGCATGACTCTCACTGCAGTCATTATCTTGGGGAGATAACAAGTGAATCATCTTCAATTAAGGGTTCGTGATCTTGACTGGAATCTTTTTGTTAATGGAGTGTGGATATGAAAATCTGGCAAATTTTTGGTTTTCTTGGCATTTATTAGCAAGAAAAACCCTTGAAGCGAAGCTTGGCGATATTTAAAAAGTAAATTAAACTACACCAACGAGAACATAGTTTTCAAAGCCGTATTATGTTTGCAGCAACAGATCATTTTAAATTATGCTCATAGTCTGGTCAGTGATGAAATTAGGCATTAAAGACAAATGCAGGAAACAGTGACGTTCATTTTTCTTCTCATGATGTGATTTAACTGCCGAATGATGCACTCTGCTGTTCACACCATAACCAAAGCCTTGAAGTTTAGGGGTTAGAAAGCAGAAAATTGTGAAGTCCTTTTAAACAAACAAGAAAAAAAAAATGTTTTGGTGGTTTTGACACTATCATTCATCCTGCATCAGTTTTTGGCATAAACTTTAGGAAGCATTTAGAGCCTCAAAGCAATAATTCAAGTTGATTGAAGTGGCACGTTGAAAAAAAAAGGTTTAAACAGTTTCTATCCTGTTGTCGATAGATCTTTGAACCTGAGTTTGAAGAAAAAAAAAGTTGAATTGTGATCAAACTGATGAGCTAAACATGCGTTTCAATGCAGCCAAGATCAAAGTATTGCCACGATCTAAAAACCCCAGTCTCAAAAATGTCAAGTAAACATTTCATAAATCTTTACTCTATACAGATTTTGATCTTTGTTCATTTCAAACCACAAATAATTCAGCAGCAGGTAGCTGTAGCCCTTCTGGTGCGCCCTGGGGCACTACTAGAGGGAATAGAATAAAACTGAAATAACTGTGTAATAGAAAACTAATAGTGGTGTAAAGGTTTTATTAACAGCGCTTACATGAATTATTACAAAAATTCTGACAGCGAATGACACTCCAGTCTTAAGCCAGACTTGGGAGCACTGTTGGTTCCAGTAATTGCAAAGTGTGAGCAGGAGCAGTTGGCGCACGAGACGATGAGATGGTGTTGGGACATGCCTCTCAAGCTCTTAGTCAGGCAGCTGTCTCATCAAATCGTAATGATCATGTGTTAAAAGAGAAACGTAACATTTCAGACATTAAGGTTTTGTAAAGACAGGGGGGAGACACACAGTCTGGCGTGTTTTCGTTTGTGTATTCTGGATGCACACCAGCCACAGCTACAAA